AGGGTTGGGGGGCGGTCCCACAGTTGAATTCACCCTGGCTAACAAAGGAGCCTAGTGCCCTGGCCACACCCAGATCAACAGCCTGGCTGGGGGTCTGACCAGGAAGAGGAGGCCTTCTGAGCTCCATGTGCTGTGCCCGGTCTGTGCCCTTTGCCCGTCCTCCAGATATGGCTCGAGTCCCTTTGGCCTGGAAGCCTTCTCCCCTTCAGCAAGGCCACCCCCACTCCACAGGCACTCATGGTGCATCTGACTCAGTGGCACATCGCATCTGTGATTTTTTAGATTAATATGGACATCCCCACAGGGTTTCGAAGTACATGTTTTTCAAAACTCATAGGCCGCTATACTTATTTGTGTCCTTCGTTGTATGTAAATTTTCCCTTAAAGTAGTTAAAAACAAATATTGAATTCTGGTTCAATGATATGCATGCTGAAGAGTTTAGGGGCACAGTGTGCAAACAGCTGCAACTTGCTTTGAAATGCATGAAAACGTAGGGGACTGCACTGCCCTGCAGTTCTCTCCCCTTTAAGGGGTGTGATCGATCTGCAAAATGGGAAACTCGGGCATCTAAATGTAAGACCACGGTTGGCAAACTAGGGCGGCAAAGGATGACTACTTGTTTTGAAGGATCACAGAGGTCTGTTATCCTAGTTGCTTTCATGACATACTGTTGTCATTTATTTGATGCCATATCCCGAGTCTGAAACTGAACTTTCAATCATTATAACAGTTTCCATAGAAACATATCATCTATACTTGCTCGCTCCCTCACTGCTCCCCAGTGGCCCGCTCTCCCACCTCTCCACCCCCCCACCCCCCAGCCCTAACCCTTCCCACGAGGCCCTCTGGAGCTTCCGTTCCTCAATAAAAAACTCTCCAACCTACACTGTTAACTCTGGAGGTAACAAGGCCAGGAATAAAAATGCACATTTATGTTTGCTAAATTAACATGGAGACACTGGAAAGATGCAAATGAAATGAACCAAAGTGTTAACCTACGGAGGGCAGTAGCCGGGAGGGGCCACGAAAAGATGTGAACTTGGGTGGGAGCAAGACTTCGAAAAATGTACCCTTTAAATATAATTTTAATGAGGAACCAGGGATGTCGTGCTTGCTAAAAATATAATTTTAAAAAATTTCCAACAGCCTCAGCCTATTAGAACTCTTCATTTAGGCCACTTTCTTCCATGTCATCATGGAAACCGCCCCAACTTTGGATCTAAATGCCTCTGTTCTTAGCATCTTAAATCTCTTGACCTCATCCATTTGTTTTCATCCCAGGCCTCCAAACTACTTCTTTCTCACCAGGATACAACGTTCCTCCTGCTCTGACTTCCTCCCAGCCCGGTCTAGACACTGTCTGCATTCATCTATTCGCTCTGCTTTCGCTGAGAACGTGCTGGAAGTGGGCATCCCTCGTCCCAGAATCCTTACCTCCCTTATTACTGTGAACTCCACCCACCATCCACGTCTCCACATCTAGGCTGCTCAGAGCTGCTGGCAAAGGGCATGCAGTGGGGTGGATCACTGCCATTACCAACTTCTTACCGGGTACGTGGGACTGCTCAGCAACCCTACTGCGTGCTCCTGCTCCCAACGCCCATCAGCAACCCTACTGCGTGCTCCTGCTCCCAACGCCCATCAGCAACCCTACTGTGTGCTCCTGCTCCCAACGCCCATCAGCAACCCTACTGCGTGCTCCTGCTCTCAACGCCCATCAGCAACCCTACTGCGTGCTCCTGCTCTCAACGCCCATCCCACGAGAGGCTGTTCCCACGTGGGCCAGATCCCCAACCCATCTCAGCAGATGATCTGGGCCCCATAGAGAAAATCTAGTATTCAGTCTCAGCCCTGACTCAACTCAATCCACAGGCACTGGGAGTACAGTGCTGAACACGGCAGAGAAGGTCCCTGCTCTCGTGCAGGTCAGATCTTAGGAGGAGAAGAACAAAAAACCAATACAAGCAAGAAAAGTATCACCGGTGATGGGTGCTGCGAGAGTTAAATATAGTGAAGGATGAATGAGCGGCTCTCTGAGGAGGTGGTCTGGGAAGGCTTCCCGAAAGAGATGACCTCTAAGTCGCGTTGGGAATGACGAGAGGGAGCCAGCCACGTACCACAAACCCTCCAACGCAGAAGGAGCTTTGTCTGTTTCACATCCCAGGAACCACCGAGCAGAGTGGGTGGCGGGAGCAAGAAAAGGAAGTTGTTGGGTGGGGTTTATATCAAGGGTCATAATTAAGAATGATGTAAGCCAGCCCGGCTGGTGTGGCTCAGTGGTTGGACCAGGAGGTCACGGTTACAAGCCCAGTCGGGGCACATGCCTGGGTTTTGGATTCGATCCCCAATGTGGGGTATGCAAGAGGCAGCCAGTCATTGGTTCTCTCTCATCATTGATGTTTCTATCTCTTTCTCCCTCTCCCTTCCTCTCTGAAATCAATAAAAATGTTTTACAAAAAAAAAATGATGTAAGCCATGACACAGTATAGAATCTATTCTAATTGTGAAGAGGTGTCATTGGAGTGTTGCAAGCAGGGGAGTGCCTTGACCTAATGTAGTGTTTTAAGAATGACGATGGCTGCTACGAGGAAGGGGTGTTACTATAGCTGGCGGGTGAGCGGGAAAGCAGCGAGGAGCTTCTGCAGCAGTCCAGTGGTGTACGCGGTTAGCGTAGGTCGCATGGGGAGCGTGGAGAGAAGTGTCAGTGCACGACGTGCTCTGGGGAAGCAGGTGCTGGGACTCACCAGCTGACTCACAGCTGGGGTACAAGCAGGGTGAGGGCAACTCCAGGATAACTCATATCTTTACTAAGCTACAGAGATGGGAAAGAAACTTGTATTCTTTGCACACCCGAGTTCATGGTATGAGATTTATACTAGACATATCTGCGGCACACAAAGGGCTTAAAAGGCTCAATGCAACACTAAACAAGTCAGGAATACTTATAATACCATCTCAGGTTCAGTAAAACAGTCTCTCCAGGCATCTATAAAAGCATCCAGAACCACTCTACGAGGCCCAGGGTCATCCTTCAACTGTGCTGCTATGTGAAAGGCACTGTCTCCATTCTTGGCTGCAAGAGTGATCTTTTCCAAAAGGCAAATCTGATTGTGTCACTTCTCTGCTTAAAATCTTTCAGAGGCTCCCCACTGCACTGTGAGTAAAATCCAAACTCCCCACCACAGCTCATAAGGCTATGCATGACGAGGCCCTGCCCATTTCTTCAACCTCACATCCTACTACCTCCCTCATTCATGACATTTTGGCCCCAACTCCTGATGGTACCTAAAATGTACCAAGCCCTCCCTACCCCAGGACCTTTGCACATGCTGTTTTCTCCTAGCTCTTTGAATGTTTAGCTTGCTCATTCTCATCCTCAGGTCTCAGTTTGTATGTCACCTTCTCAGATAAATGTGTTCACCTTTTTAGTAATTTTTTTCTGGAGCAGGTACAACCATCAAACCACACTGTACCTTGCCAAAGCTGCCTTTCCCAAGCACCATCAGGAAGTTAAAATCGCTCAGCTTCATCCGGTCCCTGTTCCCATTGTTGTCAAATTTGGCTATGGTGTTGGTAGTTTTTTCTTCTGGAGTCTTGGGAGTCTGACCGATCTTGGCCCTCTGGAGGGGGAAACACAAGACACATCATTAAAAAGCCAAGTCATAAGCCAGAAAAAAAAAAAGACACATCATTAAGGTTTGACGATGCCTTTGTAGGAAGACACATATAGACATGCATGGTGTGGTTCCTGCCACTCACACACCCCTATCCATGAAAAGCATGGCCAACAGCCCACTCTGCAAGGCCAGAACCTGGAGGCCATCCTTGGCACCTCCATTTCTCTTGAAGCCCTCACATCTCACCAGGAGCAGTCCCCTTTTCCTCCTCGTGGCCTCTAGAATTCATCTTCTTTCCATCTCCACCAATGTCACCTGCCATCACCCCTCACCTGGACAGTCACCTTGGTTCCCTCCACACTGGGCTTCACATGAAGCCAGAGCAAGATTCCACTTCCTCACACCCAATCGAGTCACCACCTGCTTAAAATGCTTCAGTGGTGACTCATTTTTAGGATAAAGACCTTGAAGCGTGTACTGGCCAATATGACCCAGCACGATTGGGCCCTACCTGGCTCTCCCACCACATCACTCCTTGAGTCCTTCTTCCCTGCAACCCACCTTCATTCTTTCACCTCCCACCTCAGGGCCTTTGCACGTGTTCTTGCTTCTCTCTGGATGCTATTCTCTTCCCTTCCTTCTTTCGTCAACTTAGTTACCCCAGTTTCACTTCCTCAGGCAAGTCCTCCTTGATTCCTTGTGTCTGGACTAGGTGTCCCTACTAGTATTTGCTTCCTTCACTCATTTCACCTCCCATTTATACTGGATGATGGCTGTCATTCACTTTTTGCCCCAGGTGCACTGAAAACAGTGAGGGCACAGACTATATCTCATTCTCCACAGTTTCCCTGACAACCAATATAGTTTCTGGTCAAATGGATAAATGAATGGGTGAGGCAATGAGGGGGGGACCTGCTTCTGTGAGCAGCAAAATAGTGACTCAAATGGCAGCAAATACTCTGGAACAAGAAGAGATAGGAAAACAGCAGGGAGACCTGCAGCTGCCAGGGCCTTGTTACTGGATTTGCTTCTAGGAGTGAGAAAATTGTGGCATTAAAAGCTCAGCTTAGAATTCCCAACTGTGGCAGTGGACAAGCTGTGTAATTCTGGCTCACAACACTCCTCCACCAAACATCCCAGACGTTCCTGTCTCTGTCAGAGAAACAGGCAAAGGCCACAGATAACCTGACTCCTCTGCACTCTCTTATTTCAGCCCCTTCTCCTTGCTATAACCACATGGCCTCATTGCCGTTCTCTGAAAGCACCAAACACATTCTTTTCCCAGGGCCTTTGCACTTGCTTTCTCTTGTGACTGGAGGTCTTTCTCCAGAGCTCCCTCACCTCTAAGAGAGCCCCAGTGCCTGACATGAAATAGCTCTCAGCAATCTCCCTCCCCCTTATTTACTTTATTTTCTTCATATCTCTTATCACTACCTTACAAACCAGATATGTACTTGTTTCTTAACTTATTATTTTTCTCCTCACACTAGAACACAAGCTCCATGAGGACTGCCTACCACCACAGAGTGGCACTTACTTGCATTTGCTTAATGAACCTTTCTAAATCTCAGTCCCCTTTCCAAGAAAATGAGTTAATGACATGAGAAAATGTATCACAAAGTTCTCAGCACCATTCCTGTCACTTAGTAGATGCTCAATGGATGGTAGACATTATTATTGCTGCATTACTCACTTGTCTTTATAAGACAAAGAGGCAACAAAAAGTTTTCCATGGGGTTTAATATCAGGGAAGATTCATTCATTCATTCAAGAAATACTTATTGAGTGCCTGCTACATGCCAGGTATTGCCCTAGATTCTGAGGCTCCATCAGGGAGCAAAGCAGATACAGATGCTCAAAGAATTTGCATCCCAGCAGG